TATCGTATGATTATCTGCTACTTTTCCACCACTACTGCTCCCTAAAATTCCCTAAAATTGCACCTTCCCTCTTTTTCATTTCATTTTGCCACTTTTTTTTAGCAGATGGACTCAACGCTGTGCATTTTGATCGAAATGCTACTAATACAGCCATAACCAGTGTTTTAGTTGTAGAAGGATTTCGGATTTGATTATAAAATTCATCTGTTTCTACAAGTATTCCTACAAGTATTACAGCCATGATTAATTGCGAAACGCCTTTCTCGAAATGATAATTTTACCATCGGAAACAGAAGAGGTTTCCGACTGAGCCAGTGCAAAAACTTTTTCAAGACGCCATATTTTTGTGCGCATTTTTCTAAATATAAATTTTGAATACGTTTTACATAGAATACATGCATATATTTATTTATATGTTAACTTGCTTTACAATATTCTTTTTCTTCTTCAATTATCATGAAAATTATATTTATACATAAGAAATAACAATTATTTCTTAAAAATTTTATCTTTACGTGCGTTCTTCAAGTTAAAAATTCTAGGTACTTTGAATACTTTATACATATTCATTTGTTTAAGGTAGACTTTATATATGTTTAATTCAACACTTAAAATGATAACTAACAACAATATAGCAAGAAAGACATCAGCACTTTAACATTGCTAATTTTACAGCACTAACATAACGTAAGATTAATTTTAAAAAATTCCCTTAGAAATCATCTGAATAATCATTTTCGATATTAAAGAAACAAATTTACACCAACAGAGTTGTTATTTTGTATACTGCAGAAGTCTATTTGTATATACAAGTATATACTTCAAGTAAATATATTTGTATATACTTTAAGTAAATAAGACGATATAGTAAACTATCCGTGGCAAATGAACTATTGAAGCAAATATGTATAATTTAGTCACATTATCCTATAATCCGTAATATTATATTCAACCTTTATGTTAGTTATGTATCCAACAATATTCGGTAAATGTACAAGATGACTAATTATAAAATATATAATTGCAGTTTCAATATAAACCGGAAACAGAAAAGAGGAAAACATTTTAATTACACGGATTCCAATAACCCCATGTGATATCCTACTTTAATTCAGAGTATTTAATCTTCTTTATGTCTTATGTCTGGTCTCGCTAGATTCCAATTGAATTTGCACATGATCTCATAAAAGTTGCACTTTCAAGATTTTCAATTTCAGACTATGTTGCTTCCTTACGTAAATATCCTTATAAATATAAGTATATAAATATATTAATATATAAATATATATAAATATATTATTATATAAATATAAAAAATAAATATAAATATTTAAATATAAATAAATATATTTATAAAAAAATATTGAATTTATAAAAAAGTTTTTTATTTTAAGTATAGCAAGAGGCTTGCCCAGCCTTGATCTGGACAAGGAGAAGGTCACTGGGAGGAGAGCTGCTCTCTCTTCTGACATTAGGAGGTCCTCAACGGATGGCATTCTGGCTTTCATTCGAAAAGCGGAATGTCTTCTGTTCGGTTAGGGTCAGTTGCAGCACAAAAGATCATTCAGGTCGCAGTGCTCTGCTCCGTTGGGAGCTAGTACCCCGTTTATTTCTATTCTATTCTATACCAAGAGGCTTTAAGAAGACTAATTAAGATTCCTTGGTATATTAGAACAACAGACATGCATAGAGATCTAAGGGTCGACTCAGTGAAAAAATATATCAAGGCAGAGCCATAAAATAATTTACAAAAGTTGATACGTTGCCCAACCCCGCCCAAACAAACCTTAAGTCCACCTCAGGATGCACAGGAAGATATGCTGATCTACGGTCCGTCATCAGTTAGAAGATAAATAAATGATAATGATTCTAGTATAGTTAAAGTTTAGTGTGAGGCAGGGATAATCCCCCACAACAACCCCCGCAACAATAACAACATTAGGTATAAGTTAGTATATTAACAGATAATTCAGAAGTAAATAAATCAAATGTTTTTTTTAACTTATCGACTGTCATTGTGCTTTAACCCGTTGTAAAAACTCATAATATTCTTTTGCGTTTTCTCTTAGTTCGTAGTCAACATTATAAATAAATATTTTTCTTAAGTCTATTAAGTCTAAGAAATATATTTATAAAACCACCTAATTATTTTTCACTGACAATAACATAAATGCTGAACTCAAATTTGACGTATTACATTCGTTTTGTTTTTTTTTTCGTTTTCTTTATTTTGTTAATATTTTACTTAGCTCTAAACATTAGATTTCTTGTCGTATGAGTGATTAAATTTTTAGGAGATATGTATTACAACGATATACATGTCGCAGTAACACGTTCGACTTTCAGTGTTTGATATGTCTTTTTTATATTTTTGAAATTAGGTCTAATTGCAATGAAAAATTATGTTCTTAGTGCGTGTGAATAATTTGTCACAAAATGCAGCATTTTAAAAGTATTGCAAAATAATTAACAACACTTTTGAAACTTAAAATAAAAATTGCAATTTTGTGTTATTAACAGTACTTAACCTATTAGTAATAAGAATATATAGTTGATATAAATTTCATTAGCTGCAGACAGACTACAAGTAGAACAAAATTAATTGAGACATGAATGATTTTGTGGCAAACCAACCACTCGCAAAAATAAATAAGCAATGCAAACAAAAACTGACAGATTAATAGTAAATAATATTGAAAACAACAATTACGTATTAGGACAGCTTAAAATTTAAGTTTGTGCGATTTCGATTTAGTTTAATCATATCAGACTCAGACTCCAAATAACCATGCACTCTTACTAGTGAGCGGTAAAGAAAATTAGAGTGTTGCACCTTAGATCAAGCTTGCGTATAGGCACAGGCATTTCGTATCAGCCCACGTATCTACAAAAAGACACTCGTTAGAAAAACTACACCGTGAGAATTGTAACATAACCAATGAGTATGAAAATAATAATAAACATTATTTAGTGTGTAAATTTGAGTATAAATGTTGCCATTAAACATGCAACTGACGAAAAACACTAAACATGAGTAACTAAATAAAGTTCAATTGAGCTTCAAAAAAATTTACTGGCAATTACATATATAAAAATTAAAGTTTATGAATTGCAGTGTGTGAGTTGCTGCATTTGTTGGCGACAAAGGTGGAGCACATAATCAAGAAATAATATCAAAATCCGCAACTGCTGCTTCAGAGAAACCGAAAGCCAACGTTGACAATATCAGTCGCTTTACCTGCTTGAGTAACGCACCCAAAACGAACTCAAGGAATATAGTATAACGCTGTTTAGCGTTACGCATGCGCTAAGACGTAATCGACACACGCCCCTTCTACGTGAAGTATTTGCAAAACAAGCAGAGCTGTAAACTGTTGCATGTTGCAGCGCTGCATCCGCGCCAAAATTGAATTTTAATAACACTTGCTTAAAGCAAAGACGAAAAGTGATTTGTTACGATTCTAGTCAAACGAAAATGCATTTGTTGTAAAATTTTTGTACTACTCAAACGAGAGAGCATTATAAATAGACAACAACAAATTGATATGGAAATTGTCGTCAAAAGCGAAATGCATCTGAGCAAATATTTTCGACGCATATGCGAGCTTAAAACAAAAACTGTGCTAATGTTCCACAAACAAACGCGTCTTATGCGTGTGAGCAGCAACTGCAGCTAAACTGCAGCTATTGTAGCGATATAACCGACTGATCTGTATTGAGTATTGGAACCATTTGACCGTATATAAGCGTTAATAGGGCCGGCCTGGCCAACAGTGTATCGCGGTGCTCTACTGCGTTGGAGCTAGAATTCGCAAATTGAATCGAAACTTATCATTTTGTCTGCGTTCTGCTATCTCAGTAAACCTAAATTCAAAAGGATAAACACAATATCAATGGATTACTAAAGGATATTTAAGTGTTACACGAACAAAATTTACAAGAAAGATATATAAAAATTTTTATAACACATTTTTTCAATAAAATCAAGTTTTAATTACAGAAAATTATTTATTGAGAAATAAAAAACATTTAAAATAACTAAAATAAAATAATTGCAAACATGAAGGTGAGTGCATTGCGTCGAAGCAAAAATAAGGATAATGATATTAATAAAGTGTGTCAGTGATAAAAATCTCAAATATATGTAAACTTTGGTCAAAAAATTGTTAATAGTAATTTTCATAAAAAAATTTAAATAATTAAGTGCTTTTTAAAGACAAAAACTGCTTTACATAAATATCATAAAAATGTGAACTTTAAACAACATTTATTTCATCTGTCGACAATTGTTATAAAATGTAAAATATATCAAAAAACAATATCAAACAATAATTAATTTTAATAAAATATTTAATTTTGTGATCCAAAGAAATATTTTGGCTTAAGGGATACGTTCAACTTTTAAATGTGAATTGCATATAACACAGAAAACCCTATTTAGACTACTAAATGACTATAAAAGAAAATATTTAAATAACAATAAGTGCATAATGCCAAAGACCCATAAACGTTCAACGTGATATCAGTCGCTGATTTATCTTTTAACCTAACCTAACTAAACAATCTTGTGAATATATGAATTTTTTAAAAACACAAACTTACTATAAACAAAAAAGTTTTTCAGTAACAAATATTTTAAATATTTTAATAACTTCATTTACTAAAATACGTATAATGAATTTTATTAACTTGTTAATAGTGATGAAAAATTAAATTCGCTTAAAAAGCGTATATACGTATAAAAAATACGTATAATATAAAATTAATTTAATTTAGTTCAAAGATTCAATTTATGTATAAAAATGATATTTTAGTTTAATGAAAAATTTCTTTTTTTTTGTACAAAATTTTAAAAATATTATATACATAAAAATTTCAAATACTCAAACATTAAAGTAATATTAATAATTAACATTAATTTATAAGACCTTAAATTGGTGTTAAAAATTTGTAGATATATAATATATATATAACAATATAAATATTATTTATAAATTTTATAAAAATAATATTAACAAAATATAAATATAATATATAATAACATAATAATTACATATATAACATAAATAAAATATTTATTACTTTTATAAAACAGAATAGCTATTAATTCAGTGAATAATTAACTAATTAATTTAATTTTTATTATACTCGACTATTATGTAGAGTTATTAACATTTTTAATAGTTTTAGGAACAAAGTATAAACATTAGTTTTAATACTATTAATATAAGAATAAGATTA